GAGGTAGCAGCCAGCGTGCCCGGTAACGGTCTGCAGTTGCAATAACAGAATTAGAAGGTGGGAGTGTCATGGAATCTTAGGAGCCCTGCATTCCAGTTGCCCAGGATGTGCTGAAACACTAGGCTCCCTGGTCTCACCTGAGGGTCACTGATGGGGACCATTTCTTCAGCAGTCACTCTGAGTATTTGTGCACCCTTGTGACAATGCTATAGGTCCACCTCTTTCCCAATACATCTAAGCATGTTCTCATTGCTCATCTCTTGTGTGTATAAAATCATCAAGGTAGAGAGAGTTTCCCAAAAGGTTATATTTTCTTAGCGGTTGTCCCGAAGTCACTCTACTTTCTCTAAGTTGAATCAGATCTTAAGGCTTTTCCACATGTGAAAGATATCAGACTTTTAGACTGCCGTAATATCCCCTGGATCTTCGCATTTTTTTTTTGTAGCTACTGAAAAGTGAATGAATAATTCATTTTTAGAAAATATTTTCTCTCCTGGATCATTATTCCTCTTGCTGCTTCCCACTGTTATGTTGATTTCTTTTCTCTTACTGGGGCAGCATCTTGTCTTTTCATTATGCTTAAGACCAGTTTCACATCCCCACATCTGTAGCTTTTCCTCTATGTGTAGGTTGGTTTGTTTTTTTAATGTCACTGGATACTCGTTTCATACTTGTCATTTAACAGTTATCATTCTGGTTCCACAAGAGCTCTTTTCAAGGAATCAAGTGATCATAGTCATTTGTATATATCCCCTGAAAACATATGTGACCATGTATCTTGGGGAGTCTTGTAAACCTGATGCTATTTTGTTGTTTTTAGTTTTCCCATATATTGAAAAGAACAGGGCCTTGAACGCTTCTCAGAGAATATTATTGGATATATACATATATATATATTGAGTTGCTCTTACACCGTTGATGTGTGGTTGCATTACACTAACAGAACCTGACAAGATTAAGCTCATGGTCAGGGATAGTTGGTGATCCTCAGTGTTCCTGTGCAGCAGAAGGTGAGTTTGAGATGAGAGGGTCGAGTAGGGGAGCGTGCTTCCCCGAACCACCTCCTCGCTTTCTCCGCTTCCATCCTCAACTAAGTTTTGTGAGGCTAGGACTTGGGAGTTTGTCCTGTAGCCCAGGTCTCCTAAGTGTGGCTGTTGGACTTGCCTGAGTTGAGGGCATGATGAGTGTGACCATGGGCTACCCAACATTCACGTGGAAGTGAAGGGAGGAGGACTGGATCAATCCCATTGGAAAGTGCGCCTCTCAGCAGCCCGCACCATCCTCCAACTTCACTGTGTAATGACAGTGCTTTGAGATGTATTAAAAGCTGTAAATTTATCTATTCTCTGGTGTCTCAAAAACCTGACATTCTGTGTCAAAATGAAAATCTGTCTAGTTTCTTCATTTTAAAAATGATGAAACTGCAGGTTCAGAAAGTTACGTGGTTTACTTGAGGTCACACAGGGATGAGTTTTGAGCACTGCCAATAAAAGGAATCACAATAATTATTTATTAGTTATTTATAGAATCCATGTAATTCAGTAGTCACATAATTAGTTATTGACTAATTTGTACTAGGCATTTTGTTCAACACTGTACACATACTTGGATATCATATTTTCATCATAATCCTTAAGGCAGTTATTATCCATAAGAAACAGGCAAGAAATCTGAAGAAGAGGGATAGCAAATCATGTATTTGGCCGTATTCCTATTTTTTGGTTTCTGTGATGCTGGAA